GTACAATCTTAAATACCTTGAAGAACTGAGCATCAGTGAGGAAGGATAGCCGCGGTAACCGCTAATCGTATTGCCCTGATTTGTCATATTGGATAAAAATTGGTAAAGTGTGGGGTTTCTCTGGGAGGGGTGGGGGTGGGGAGGCTTAAATTGTCTGTCTTTTTTCCCATTACAGCTGTAATCTTTCCTGTCCGTTTGGCCCGCAAGTCCTGCTGAATTGAACAGCTTTGAGTATCGCCAGGGACGCTGGTATCGTGACTTTGTTATTGTGGATCAAAGGATATGGTGGAATCAGTCATACAGCAATGCAGTGTTGTGGGGGATGCTGGGGACGGGGAAACCAGTTGTCTCTTTCTTCTAGTTTCAGCCTCGCGACCGAGAGAAATCCCCATGTGGTGACAAAGTTATAGAAGCCAGGTGTTGAGGGGTTTTCTTTTCCTGGAGGAACAAACTTCTTTTTGTTCCTCCAGGTTTTGCTTTTGCCCAAAAAACAGCAACAACAAAAAAGCAAAAGACTCCGGTGGTGGCACTCCTGACTCTGTCGGGACAGGGTTCAATCCCCTGCGGTGTCTTGCTTTTTCTATAGTATGCTGTGTGGGGAAAACTGATGTAGACAATCAAGAGTCATTTCATGTAGTATTGGCAGTATGGGTTTCAAAACAGTTAAGTCACATTTTGTACGGAAAAATATTTTTATGGAAAAAAGAGACAACAAAAAGGGTCTTGGTTAGTTGTTAGGGATGTTTACTGTTCATCATCACAGAGTACACACCAGAGAGATCCCTCAGATCATCAAACAAAGGTCTGCTCATGTACCAATATTACCTTTTGATCAGCTCATGGGGCTTTTAGTCATCATGGTCCTGCTCTCTGTCACATGAACTACAGTCTGCTACAACAGCAAGCTTTTATTTAGGTTTTTAAGTGTATTTTCTGATGTTTTGGGAATTAGTTTTATTATTATTATCTCCCCTTTTTTAAGAATAACGATAATGGTACCTTTTTTTTTTTTGTGTTATCAAGTCCCGCTCGTTTTTATGTATGTAATACTTTATTATATATTAGTGTCATGTATGATGTGACTTAAGCACAATGAGTTTACACTTGTATGAAATGTGCTATATATAAGCTATATAATTAAAGTTGACTTGACACAAGATTACCGCACAGAAACAGGTTTATTATCTGGGATGTGACAATGAATTTGACAGGAGCAGGACAGTGACAGGGTTATAACTTGTACATTATTGAAAATGTTCTTCCAGTTCAGTGTAAATTGTATGTTTATGTCCAAGTAATGTTTAAAGAGAAGCATTCATTTCATTGTGTATGATCAATAAATCTTGAACTTGAAACCCGAATCCTGTGCTGTACCGACCTTGCATTTGATTTTTCACACTTCTGCTTACTTCTCAGTTAAGATGTTGATTTTACGGTATCTGATCCTGTAGAGGTAAAGAGGTTTGACATTTGGCAGATGAAAAGGACCCAGTAAGCTAGGCTAAAGAAAAGGAAGCTAACTATGCAGCTTCAAATTAAGGTCATGGGGCGTTAGCAGGTGGTAAAAATATAGTTCCCTCAAAGGTGTTGGAGGATATTAAGTATTGAAATTTAATCTACACAAGTCTACTAGTCTCACCTGCTGTTTAAAGTAAAATAATGTTTCATTTTCATAGAGTATAAATGCCGTATATCTTTGAACAGTGAGGCTGGATTGTACATTCAGGAAGCTGTTAAATCCTTGTATGGAGTTTCAGTCTAAGCTAAAAAAGTGTAAGTGTTGACACCACTGCTAGATAAAGATATAGATATAGGATGGACAAGTGTAGACTTGTAACAAAATTAAAATTATTTGTTAATGGTATGTCCATCACTAGTCTTGGTCCAGGCTAGAAATTGTCCCATACAGCTGTGAAGTACTGACTGCGTGATACACGTGAAGAAATTAATGCATTTAACAACTATTTGTAGACTTTATTTATATGTTCTTTTAGTTTTAAGTCATTTAATGCAATGACAATAAAAGAAAGAGTCCTACATGTGATTTGTTGGACATTTAAAAAAAAATACCTTGTTGGACATAAAAAAAAATACTGTACCTTGTAGTTTTAAAGAATTAATTGTTAGAGATGATTTTAAATACATGCACAAATCTTAGTCTTTTCAGAGAGTTTATATAAGCTTATGTGGTGACATGTATTAATGGAGCCTGCTTACAGGGGTTTGGAGAAAATAACTCGTCCGGTGTTGTGGTATTATTCTGTCACAAAACAATACTTATGCAACATAGTTTACATAACAATTATCCACAAATGGCTGACAAATTAAAGGAAAAAATAAACTGTAAAGCCACAAAGTTAAGAGTAAAAAAACTGCATGAGATGCAAACATTTTATGGGTGAAAGTGAAACACTAACATTTAACTTATTCCCATATCAGTAACAAGGCAAACAGACACATACAACTGTGATACCCAACAAATGAATAAAAACCACAATATGCAATTAACATGAATTACAAGGTCCAGGAAAAGAACAAATGTGATGTGAGTACATCTTTAAAATAAATTAGAAACAGTCACATTGACTAAAATAGCTAATTTTTTTTAATATCGACTTGAAATTCCCCCACAGTGATCAGCTCTGCCAGTTTCAGATCCTTGTGTAGATTATTCCAGAAGGAAAAAGAAGCATATTTAAAAGCTTTTTTGCCGAGTTCTGTTTTCATCCTTGGAACCAGCATTTGTAGAGTATTTTAAGAGCTAAGGCATTATTGATTTTGGTTTCTACACATGTATGTAGACAGATAAGAGGGAGCCAGGCCAGGAATAGATTTATATATAAAAACCAACCGATGAGAGAGCCTGCGGATATACAAAGATGGCCGTTTAGCAGTGTCAAACAGAGGACATTGGTGTATGTGATTTCCACAACCAGTAAAGAAGCGCAAAGCACAATGGTACACAGTGTCTAACTTCTTTAGACACTGGTCAGGGGCATTCATGATTCATGATGAGGTGTTCTGTCACTGTCTCTGATTCACCTAGTCCACTTTGGGGAAATAACTGTGACATAATTTGGAGATTTTCACAACACTTATGAAAATGCCATCAGGGTGCATTATAGACTAAGTCAACACTAAAGGGCTCTGTGGCAAAATCAAACATCTCTGTGGCCTTGTTGACCCCCCTGTTCATGGCAATTTGGTTAAACATAGAGTCCTTAGAAGATGTCAGCCTTCTATCGTGTGCTTAAAAAATATTTATCTTCAGTCAGATCAATGCAACATGTACCTTTGTAACTGCAAGTTATGTTTGTGTTTGTGTAACCTTTAATATATTATTTTCTTTTTTCTCTTTTTGCAAACAGGAATACAGTGATTACTCTGTTGAAAACAAAGAAACTGGTTAAAAAAATTACCATTCGAACTTTTAACACAGTTGCAATGGACAAGTGATAATGCAGGACCTACCTCGTTAAGTATGTTTATGCTTTAGTGTTGACACACTGTCAGTTAGGGACCTTTGTGGCAATGTCTGAGTGTCATTCTTCAAGGTGAGGACAATTTTGTGTTCAGAAATATCTATGTTTTTTGTTGTTCTTGAGGTTTTCTTATTTGTTTTTAATAATATTATACACAGTTCAGCAACCTTTACTATCAAAAGAGACATTTTGGGCCAAAAAAGTAAATAAATAAAATAAAAATGGCGCTGCAATACCTATTTGTGCTTTATAGTGTCAGCAAAACAGCCTTTTTAATTTGAGTTAGCCTATAAATGTTCCTAATAGGTCTAAAAGAGTATTCATTAATATGTTTTACAACAAAGTAGCTCCTTTGCAGGGGGCTATTTATAATTACTCTGTATTTAACTTTGCAGTGTTAATGGTGAAAGCGAACCAATCAGTCCACTCACTATAAAATTCTCTATTTTTCTCCAAGACATTTTATCTTTTTTTTTGGATTTGGAATCAATAGCCTGCCTCACTAAGGAGACTGAAGACTAGCCATCACTACTAAGATGGGGCAAATTTTAGGAAAAGGCGGCAGGCTGTAGACATATGACACACATAGATATCCCTTTTTATTTGGTTTATAGGCGACACATTTATACAACTGAAAAATGTAAGAATCACTTTAGGGCTACAACAATGATAAATGAAAATCATAAATGTTAAAAATGCGTTTCCCCTAGCCACTGGAGAAGGGCTTAAGAGCCACATGTGGCTCCTCAGCTGCAGGTTGCCTACCCTTGGCCTAGGGAAAAGGTTGCTTGATATCCTATCCTTTTTTTTTTTTTACTTTGATAACTTACTGGATTGTCTCTCAACATGTTAACGTATGTCTCTGTTACTATACATCTGTCTTTATTTGAAACATTTACAGCAAGAATATTGGATAATGATAAGAGAAGGGGTTTCAAGACATGCTGTTCATCTGTTGCACTTTTAATGCTCTCTGTAATTGCAGTTAAATGTTGTGAACTATCCTATGACTAAAGATAGAAGGAAACATCCCTGTTCATTGCTACAAAGACAAAAATAATAATTCTCTAAAAGAAACATTTGAGATGATGCACAATTTTCACAATTTACTTTTACTTTCTTTTTACGCTTCACGCTTCTGTAACTATTTTAAAATCTTACTTGACTTTAGGAGTTATAGTTTTACAATGCTATGATTTTATGAATGAACTCTGTTTTATGTTTTATGTATTCTTTCTATGTTCATGTGGAGCACTCGGTGCTTATTCTGCTCTTATTGTAAAGCACTTTGTATGCTGCTTTACTTGTATGAAAGGTGCTGTATAAATAAAGATTATAATTAGTAGTATTTCAGATTGTGACTGTATATAGGCACTGACAGGTTACATTTTATCTACATGTAGTACACGTACTTCGCCAATTGAGGCCTGATGAATTTGTTGACTGTCTATCCTGCTGTTGCGGAACCAACGTGCAGACACAGAGTTTACACGGACCCATTTCGGATCCGTTCCATTTGCTAGCTAGCATCTCCTAGCTAGCAGTCAGTGCAGTTCAGCTGTGTGTTGGATGAGGTGTGGTGGACAGAGGAGATGTGGTCCTTTTTTGCCAGGGATCCTGTCAAAGACTTTGCTTATGAAATTCTCCCAGACACCCAGGAGAAGTCTGGAATATGGACTCTCCACCGCGGGAAGCGAAAGGTAAAAGACCCGCCGATGGTCCTCCGCTAACGGTCACAGTTAGCTTCGGTACGGAGGCCTCTTAGCTAGCCGGCTAGCGTTAGCGTCAGTGTCTGTTCGCTTCTTTGATGTAGCTTTAGACAAGATGTTCGGTGTTATATTGGCGTGGCTACATGTCAGGCCTGTCAGAACCTTACTCGTCTTTCTAGCTGAATGAATGTCACTGTGTATTTAATATTTTTCGGCCTCTTTTATGTACCGATAGTTTTCGCTGACGAAGTGAGCTCAGGCTTTGTTTACTCCGAGAGACAGACACGTATTTCTCGCCACGTCACCTGGTTTTGGCGGAGTTAATAACTTTTACCGCAACTGTTTTCACACTAATGTTTTATCATATCAATAAAGGCACCGTCCCCCATCACTGACAGCACCTCACATTAATAACTCTCCTGATTATAATCGCTGAGTAGCCCAGTCTGTACTGTCAGTGTCATCATCATCACTGCAGGGCCGAATACAGGCAGCAAAGCACCTGCTTCCGGTTTCCCATCATGTTTAATGGCATTTATTTAAATATGATGTGGTGATATGATGTACTGTATTTGTGTTTTTATTTTCTCCACTCCTGCTTGGTGTTATTACACAGCATAAATAAGGTAATGTGTTTAATAATAGCACAAACTAAGTATGTGAGTGTCTCATTTTACCCCAACCTGTGTGTGTCCTCAGACCAATGGGGAGCCAGTGTCTGTGTTCCTGTACGAGGTAGCACAGGGGACAGAGCAGCAGACACAGCTAGCCAAGGCTGCCTTCAAGCGTATGAAGACCCTGCGGCACCCTAACATCCTGGCTTATGTGGACGGATTGGAGGTACATGTTTGTGTGTGTGTTTTTTGCACCTATATTTATCTCTGCACACTCTCTCATTGTTTCTCATGTTCAGAGGGAAATGTTGTTCAACTTGTGTAGTGTCATTCCTCAATATAGTGAGTGGCTTTGTTTTGTCATATAATTACTGTCTCATTTCCACCATCTTGCTTTTCTCTGCATGTTCACGTTCAGACAGAGGTGAGTGTGAATATGCCGCTGTAGGTCTTTAATATGTGTGCAGTAGTTATAGTGAGTAATGTGCTACTCATATAAGCAGATTCTGTTTTATCAGTTTTGTGTGCTCAACAAGAAAAAGAGATACCCCAACACATAAGAGCATCTATTGCATGTCTTGCCAAAAACAATGAATTGATAATGTAATATATTAAGGGAAATGTGACAGTTGATTGTCTGTGTTTGTTGGTTGTATACTCATAATGCTGATGATGCTTACTGCCTGAAACTCAGCAGCGACTGAGTTGCCAAACTAATTAGCTTAGTAGAATTCCACCCATTAATTCACTGTAAATGCTACAGTGTGCAGGGTTGCAGCGATATACAGGTTTCAGGGTATATTGTGGGGGGTTGGGGGCGGCGGGGGGCATTGAAACTCCCCTTTATTTGAGTTATTTTCTAAGGGGTGACTTTTTACACATACTTGCATCAACAAAATGGTTTCAAGTTTCAGTTATCCTAATAAAACGTTTGTTCAACCAACCATCACCCTTCCAATTTCATTCCTTTAAGGACCAGTCTGACTGATAATACTGTAAATTCTGTAATATCATGATACCATGACACTGCAACATTTTCTGAGACTGTTATCACACTGTGAAAATCTCATACCATTGCAACCCTAACGGTGTGTTTTTAATGCTGTGCTGTAGTATAGTAGGTTTGGATAATAATTCAGTATTAAAGGGACAGTTTTAATTTTTTGAAGTAGGCTTGTATGAAGCACTTATTCCTAGTCAGTGTATTACCTACAGTAGATGGCGGTCAGCACACCCGTGGTGTGAATAAGCAGGTAAGAGTTCTGCCACAGAAGCTAAGCGGAGCTGCTGTGAATGGGGGCAGCGAGAATTCAAATTTTAACCACCTTAAAGAAAAGGCCCACCCAAAATAAATATATTTAGAATATTTTCACCATTTTATCTTGCTGTCAGATAGCCCTTTTCTTTGGCACTACATTTTCACATCAACAGATCAGCGTTCTTTGTTGTTGCTGTTACAATCACTCATCATTTTTAGTTTCTTGTATTTGTTGTCTCTTCCATTAACAAAGTCTGACCTAATCAGCTGATCTATAGGTAATGCTCGGAATCTGAAAAAGTACCTCATATAACCTACTCTAAAAAAAATCAGAACTATGCCTTTAACATTTACTGCCTTTTATAACATCTGTTGTGAAGAAACAATAATGTTTATTATGAAGTGTTGTTATATAACATACACAGATAATAAGCACTAGGTCACATATATCCATTAGTGTATATATAGTATAATATATATACGTTTTTATCATTGTGGTATTATTTTTAAGACTCATGTAGCTGTTGAGTATTTTTGCAGTGAAGCTGGTACATTAAAACATACACAATAGTAAGTTACACATAAGATGATAATTGATTTTGCTCATCTGTTTCACAGACAGAGAAGAGCCTGTACCTGGTCACGGAGCAGGTGACACCACTGGCAGTCCACCTGAAGACCCAGGCAGAGAAGGGTGGATCTGGGGAGCTGGAGGTCTCCTGGGGTTTGCACCAGATAGTGGTAAGGACAGAAGAGAGCATCTGATACTTTCAGGGGAGCCATTTCTCTTTAAGCCTGTACTCCACTTCTTCCATTTCCCTCCTCCCACAGAAAGCTTTGAGTTTCCTGGTCAACGACTGCCACCTGCTCCATAACAATTTGGGTGTTTGGGCTGTTTTTGTGGATCGAGCTGGAGAGTGGAAGCTTGGGGCTCTCGACCATGTGGTCCCTGAGCAGGGTGACCCAAGCGGGGTCTCACTCCCTGCCCCCAAAACTGTTTACCCAGACATGGAGAAATATGACCCACCAGAGATGTCCAACAGCAGTGGAGAGAAGTGGTAAGAGAGGGTTGTAAATGTCAAATTGAGAGAAGTGAGTTGGAATAAGAATAATATGTTACACAGGAAGAATCCAGGAGCAGCAATAAAATATTTGGACAAAGTGCAGAAATTACAGAATGAAGAGGTTCATAATATGACTTTTTAGATACCAGAGTAAAGTGTGGGTGAAATAGTTTTCATTAGAAACTTTTGTATTAAACTGTGTGCCTGTTTGTTGCAGGGCAGGTGAGGTGTGGCGGCTGGGCTGCCTGATCTGGGAGGTGTTCAACGGGCCACTACCTCGCACATCCTCCCTGCGTTCACTAGGAAAGGTACGACACCTTGACCGTTCCTTTGTGTAATCACTGCACCATTGTCATTTATTCCATGGCGTATTTCCACTACGATATGCTACAGATACTTCCTGTTGTGCTGATAACAGTTAATAATTAGACGTACATTATGCTCATGTAAAGAAGAAGTATTGTCAAATTGAACTTGAGAAGAGTTATCAGAAACCGTGAATGAGACGCATATGTTCCTGCTAAGTTGCCTTCAAGCAAGAAATTGAACCTCCAGTGGCGTCATGGTTTCAGTGACTGCTAAAAGGAATCTTTTGTTTGTGACATGAAGCAGTGTTGTTCACAGAGTTCTGCTCTCTCGTGTTTCCTCTTTGTGCCCACAGATCCCAAAGGTCCTGGTCCCTCATTACTGCGAGCTGGTGGGGGCTAATCCCAGAGCTCGACCAAACCCAGCACGCTTTCTCCAGAACTGTCGAGCCCCCGGAGGATTCCTCAGCAACAGCTTTGTAGAGAGCAACCTTTTCCTGGAGGAGATACAGGTCTGCAGAGTTACATAAAGACATGTATAACTGTGGTGTTTGTATGAGTGCCAAAATCAAATCGAAATAACAGTATAATAGATTTTAATTCTAGTGGAGTTTAAACTTTGTCTGTATCCAGATCAAGGAGCCAGCTGAGAAGCAGCAGTTCTTCCAGGATCTGAGTGAAAATCTGGACTCCTTCCCTGAAGACTTCTGTAAACACAAGGTCCTGCCTCAGCTGCTCACTGCCTTCGAGTTTGGCAATGCAGGGGCTGTCGTCCTCACGCCGCTCTTCAAGGTGAATCCTTACCCTTTACCATGACTGTTATGCCTTGTTGAATATCAAACAGTGTATTACAGCATCTCCAAATATCTCTGATCATTTCCAAACAAACCAAAGTGCAACATGATTATACTGGCCCATTTGAAAGTCACACCTCTACACACTTTTTCTCTGATCTCATCTCCCTCCGTTTGTCTGTCAGGTGGGCAAGTTCCTGTCAGCAGAAGAGTACCAGCAGAAGATCATCCCCGTTATCGTGAAGATGTTTTCCTCCACGGACAGAGCCATGAGGATACGACTGTTGCAGCAGGTATTTAAAGCTTGTCCATCGTCTCCCTACGGTCTCTCTCCAGCAGCAGTGAAGGGTGTGGGTATCATTTTGCGCCACTGGAAGATATTTTAGCGCTTTCAGCGACACAAGAAGAGCTTGAGATATATATTTGTACTCATCTGTAGGTGATGATTTACATTGAGTGAAATGCTTCCCGCACCCATATCCTGTTTTGCGTCATCTGATCAGCTCCTCTGATTGACCTTCAAACTATCTAGAACAGATATTGGCCAACAATGATCGCTGGCCGATTGATCGGAGCATCCTTATTTGGGGTGTTCGATTTATATTCCTTGCTTCTCCCATACTCTGACTGGACCAGAGATAGCGAGTTAAGAGATATCTATTCAACAGCGGTGCTCATCATTTAAATACATACGAAGAAACACTGCTTACTTCATCTGGCCACTGAGAATCTCCTGCGGTCATTCAGCAGACATCTTGGCTGTGATTGTGTGTAGGATAAAATATAAATAGAGCAAGAAATTATATCGGTTGTTTTTAAGTGTGTGTTAAAGGGTAAAAAAAAAAAAGCATTTCTTTGCTCTAACATTTTTCCTCTCTGTCTCAGATGGAGCAGTTCATTCAGTATCTGAACGAGGCCGCAGTCAACTCCCAGATTTTCCCCCACGTTGTTCACGGCTTCACAGACACCAACCCTGCCATCAGAGAACAGACTGTAAAGGTAGTGTGCAGCTTGAAACTCAACCACAAACCAGGAGGTGTTATCACAAATAAGTTGTGCACCACATGTTGTCAGTCTGCTGTAGCCGTGACTCTTCTCTGTTTCTCCCCCTCACCCTCTCAACAGTCCATGTTGCTGTTGGCGCCCAAGCTGAATGAGACCAACCTGAACCAGGAGCTGATGCGTCACTTTGCACGGCTGCAGGCCAGAGACGAACAAGGCCCGATCCGGTGCAACACCACCGTCTGCCTGGGCAAGATCGCCTCCTACCTCAACGCAGGGGTAAAGTATACCCACTCCCACACTGTGGAACTCTTAATTTATTTATTGTGAAAAAAGAATCTGTTTGAATGAAATATTTTTGTTATCCCTCTCTTCACAGACTCGACAACGTGTTCTGATTTCTGCCTTCTCACGAGCCACTAAAGACCCCTTCCCAGCTTCACGCTCCGCGGGTGTGCTCGGCTTTGCTGCCACACACAACTTCTACAGCATAACAGAGATCGCTGGCCGCATCCTGCCCACCCTGTGTGCCATTACTGTTGACCCTGATAAGAGCGTCAGGGACCAGGTACACATAACTGATGCAGAATTGTGACCACACGGTATTTCTTATCTTATGTATTTTACACTTGACTGCAATCATTGCTGTGAAGATAAGAAAACAGTTTGCCTCTGCCCAGATATATATCCACTCAATGTCTATATCAGTAATATTAAGCTTGCTATTTATCAGCACAGTGCCCCATTCCTGATTAGTCCTTATTAGATAGTAAAGATGGAAAAGAAAGATAGCCGGATTCAAGCTAGTAAATAACATATTCCAAAAAACAGGCAAGAGCCAGGCAGTTATACAGAAATGAGACAGGAGTATTGTCATTTAACAGCCTCAGCAGTAACACAAGATGTTAACGCTGCATGAGACGCACCTGCCATTTTGTCTGCTTTGAGTTGCAGAACGAGACAAGCCAGAAGGATTTTTTTATTGATTCTTCTTGCAGTGAGACAAGCCGCAGGTGCTGCAGTCACACATCAGAATGAGGGAGCACAGCAATATCTGTTCACTTGTTTACAGCTAGTAGAGAGAATGTAGTCAGTATTATTTAATAAAATAATTTCAGCTTCTTTGCAAAAAAAGGCACAAACATGTCAGCAAAATGTCAGCATCATAGCTCGTGACTCTTTAGACACTTCACAACCCACACTGGATCGACTATTTTAAAACACGGTGATCTGAGGTGAAATTGTTGGATTAGTCAGAGAGGTTAGAAGTGTCACATCCAAGGATCAGCTTTAGAGTTTAGATTGCTTCTGATACCATTTGCTTTTACTCAGGTTAACCACCTCTGTCAAGCTAGAAAATTCTGATGTATTTCTACTTAAGATGTCATCTCCTGCCTCTCTCTGTCAGGCGTTCAAAGCCATCAAGAGTTTCCTTTCCAAGCTGGAGACTGTTTCAGAAGACCCCACTAAGCTGGCTGATATAGGTGTGTAACACACTGCTCTGAGCTGCAAACTCTGCTCTCTACTTTAATTTGTCGTTCAGCAAGGAAACCAGTGACTACATGCTACATGTTTGTTTTTTATTGCTCAATTTCCAGGGGAAACAAAAAAATCTTATGCAACTGATTCAAATATCAAGAGCAGAATAAATAGACACATTTCTTTTAGTTATATCTCTGAAATTCTAAAATCGTCTCTCCTGTCGGCCCCACAGAAAAGGACGTAACGTCAGGCGCTCAGGCTGCAGGTGCATCTTCTAGCTGGGCCGGCTGGGCCGTCACTGGCATGTCCACGATAACTTCTAAGCTGATCCGAAACGCTCCAGGGACAGAGGGGGGAGCGGCAGCTGAGGTTAGCGAGGCCGCTATCGCCACCAGCCCTACCAGTGCCACTGATGGAGCACCTGCACCCGGTAGGGTTATCACATTTGTTTAGCTTGACTCTTATCACATTGTTGGACTCGCGATGAACAGTGTTTTTTTTTTATTTCACACATTCTCCTCTCTTGTGAAAACTTTGTGCCTACATAACCCATGATGCAACTTGGCTGCAAACAGTTCAGTCAGGACCGACGATGACTCAAAAGACATCACCTGAGCTTATTTATGAAATTTCGTGCCACAGAAGGCCTCATACAACCATTTTCACATTTGATTTGTAGAATCGGTGAAGTTCCCCTTAAAGAAGTCCTATATATGCCATCTGAAACCATATCTCTTGTTTTCTTTCTGTCTGTCGATAAAACTCCAGAAGCCTCTGTGACTCACCATGCTGCCTCTAGTCGTGCCAACCAACCACAGACTCATGAAGCGACAGACAACGATGATGAGCCAATAGGAGATCGCTGGGATGACGAGGAGGACTGGGGAAGTTTAGAGGTATGAATGCACCACTTTTAATTGAAAGAAAAGAATATGAATTATGATACACATGTGTATTTGAGATTATGTGTAATAATATTTGTATCTGTAATTTATAGGAGCCAGAGAAAGCTCACACTGAGACGGATGACTGGAACACTGACTGGTCAGGAATGTCATCATCCAAAAAGAAGGCCAGTGACAGAGGGGTATGAGCCCTTTAAGTTGGATCTGTTATACAATACTGCCATTTGTACTGTTAACACTATGACTAATGCTGCTAACACTATTGATACAGGTGTCACTACTACTGAGAGTAATCTTTTATCATCTCTCTAATTTCTAGGTGGGCAAGTCGTCGTCCTCCGTGGCGGGGAAAAAGCAAAACGCTGACTGGAGCAGCTCAGGCTGGGACGCCGACGACAGCTGGTCCAACGAGAAGGAGGGACAGGGTCAGAGCTCCGCGGGCGAGGAGGGCTGGGGCAATGACTGGGGGGACGAGGACACGGACACAACCTTGGCCGGTACGACGCTCCCCTTGCCCGAAGGAGTGCGGTTAGCCAGCGAGTACAACTGGGACAGCAGCAGCTCAGGCAAGGCGGCCAATCAGAACGATCTGTTCGCCAGCTTGTCCCAGAGAAACACAGCCGGAACTGCTGCCACCATGGTGAGAAAGACTGCATCATAACTGATCCATTTTACAAGTTTAAAGTGCTCTACCTTTGTATACAAGTGCACAGACATGAGAGTGGTGTTGATCTTCTCATTTAACTCTCAACAAGAAAGCAAAAAAGCTTATTTCCCAAAATGTAAGACTCGTCTGTTAAATGAGGTAAAAATACTGCTCTCTCTTATGAGAAGTTTATCTTTAGGTCAAGAAAACGTGGTGATGAAATGAGACTGTACAAGCATGTGCATGTCCAGTGATGTGTGTGTTGTGTTTTCTCTTTGTCAGACTGGAGATGGTTGGGCTGCAGAGACAACAGGAGACTGGGGAGCTGAGGAGAGCTGGGAGTCAGTGGACGGGAACCAGGGTAAAGAAAACCTTCATTCTATTAACGTTACATAACGTCATGTGAGATACTTCACTTGTGTAGTATACCAGCATGTACACTATGTTGTTATTAAAATAACAGCAGTCTACTGGGTGAAAGTTTTGAGTTTATTTGACCCACCCACCTCCCCTCCTTCCCGCCCCTATTTGGACTTAATCACTCATTAGGCTATGACAGTTACTTGGAGCATCAAAAAATGACAGTGCATCTCATATCGACAATAAATGTGCCTCCGTGTGTCGATATCTGATAGGGCTGGGCGGTATGACAAAATGCGGTGCGCCGCTGCTAGTTGCATAGAGGGGAAACACTGCTCTTCTTGGTATGAGTTCTTCTGGGTCATTGTGTTCTTCTAAAGCAACGTGTACAGTTGCTTTGCTTTCAGGACTCTCTGGCAGGCATTCTCGCCTCTGACCTTTTCTCTATGCTCTCACTCTTGCCGGCTCATTAGACTGCAGTGTTTTTGGCTCCACCTTTAAGTGTCAAATCAATGTAATAGTTACCTCTACAGAAGGGTGATGAAAAAATGGTACAGAATGGTCATGGAAAACCTGGAAAAGTCATGGAATTTCACAATCACCCTTTCCAGGCCTGAAAAAGTCATGGAATCAGTAGAAATCATTGAAAGTTATGGAAAGTCTTTTGTTGTGTGTATGATGAAATTGATACAGTAATCTTCTGTGGATAACCGTCAATGTTATGTAACATAATAGAGCCCGGTCTCACTCTGAGGTTGTCAAAATCCGGCGCCTGAGCAGTGGCTTGCGGTGTCAAAAACCAACAAAAAAAGACGTCCTTTAATGTTGGCATGATACGCAGCTGGTTGCCATTATAGTTCATGTGAGAGAGTGGTGTAAGATTCTAAAGCTAAACCCTGTTTTTTTTCCTGAACCTAACCACGTGTTTTTGTTGACGAAGCTAACCGTCTAACCAAATTATGTGCGTTATTTGTTGAAGGAAAAAAACGTCAATGTCGCAGTGTTGTACGGACATAGTGTGTCTATTTTGAAAAAGATGTTACATTTCTCGCACATGGCATGTAGAAGTCGATGACCAAACGCCAATATGTGACGAGGTTGGAGCAAGAATGTGTTGCCTAATGGCACATTTATTTTCTTTAGCATACCACACCTCTAATTTTCTCCCTGTATTCCCTCTCTTTCTTCATGTATACCAGCTAGTCAAAATTCTGTTTGAATAGAGTTGAAAAACATTCAGCAAGTGGGACAAGGAAAAACATTTTATTATGGGTTCTTGGAAAGTCGTGGAAAAGCTTTGAAATTTTTAGTAACCCTGGAAACGGTTTTATTGATACCATTCACAACTTTTGACAAGTGAAGCGCAAAAATAACCGTTCTAATATGTAACGAACTGAACTGCTTGGTGGAAATGAGGCTAAACTGAACGCCTGTGCATTGAACTGTCTCTATTGTCAAGCAGGTCTCAGCAAAGCAGAACTGTCCAAGAAGAAACGGGAAGAGAGAAGGAAAGAGCTGGAGGCGAAACGGGCGGAGCGCAAAGCTGCTAAAGGTCCTCTCAAACTGGGCGCACGCAAGTTGGACTGACGGGGATGCGGAGAAAGATTTGAGGGTGGGGATGGAGGACAGCAGGGAATTGACCCAGAGTGGTGGATGGAGGCTTGACATTCCACAAAGGACCAGACAGAAGTGTCAGCAGTGAGGAAAATACTGTGAAGAGTCAGAGGGAAACGTTCCTGTTGGACAGAAGACGACTCCCAGCTTTGGGATTCTCTGTCTGTCTTCATTCAGGAACCGACAGAGGGATGAAAAAGCAACAATCCAGTGCTTTACGAGTGGAGCTGAGACAAACAGAGACAGAGCAGTGATGAAGCAGCACAGAGCGGTGCTCCTCGCAGCCCGAGCTGATCAAAATGTCCCTTTTTTTAAACACGTAACTCATAAACCTGCAGCTGTAAAGTAAATGTATATAAAAAGTGCATCTTGTCTTAAAATGACACAAAGAAATGACTTTTTTAAAGAACTGAGAATATATATATAACAGGATATCCAACATGTATTATTATACTGAATGTTTTTCAGTACACACACACACACACACACACAGTGGATATGAATGTTTTAGTTCAGCTGTCACTAACTAACAGACTTAAAATCGACCCATGCATGCCCTGTTGTATTTGTGTGGCCTAACAAAAGGTTTCATGGCACAGAGTTTACTTTGCACATTCAACACTGTATTTTACTGAACTGACCCAACAGATGAAACGTTTGGTTTCAGATCTGTAAATGTGTGACATGCACTGCAGACGCATGATGGAAACAAGAAGTTAAATTGATGCTGGTGAACTGGTTTCAAGGGAAAATCAGTTTATGTGTTTACATGCCTTTTTCCTGTGTGTGTCCTCGTAGTGCTGTGGTGGAGGGGTGATGAAATCAAAGGAGTTTTATTTTGAAATCTGAAGGAGCCTGTAAGATCCTGCAGATCTCACTGAAACCTTTGGGAAGTCAGTTGACAGTACTGGGTGTAATCAGGGTAAATGAGTCCCCGAAAAAGTTCCTTTAACTCTTTTATTTGTGCCTTTATTTAACAAACAGATCTGCTCTGTAGGATCACGTCCAACAACTTCAGTTTCATCAGAACATTTCAGTCTGATCTGTCTTTCTCCTTTCAGTGTAACCCCCAGATCTCCTGTCTGTGTTGGATGTGCTATTGTTAGGTTTGGTGTTGCTCACCGTACATGATGCTGTACAGACACAATCAGCAGTCATCACCATTGGAGCTAATGTCCAGGTGAGGGGGGGGTCAGGTAGAGCTGTGTTTAGCTCAGGTGAACTGAGGAAGACTGGATGCAACCTTTTGACAAGAATCCAAATGATGTAGCATGTGAGCTGTTCTAAAAATAAATATAAGTTAAAAAAAAAAGTTTTTTCTTTAAATCAATAGACTGTAGTCGTCTTTCTCTTCAGCAAAGGTGTGAGCCAAGACTTAAGTGAGTTGTTGTCAGGAGGTGGATGAGTATCCATCTTGGACAAAACAGGTGAAAATGTCAACAGACCTCAATGTGGACTAAAACCTCGGAATCATAGAAATACTACTTTTCCTGATTCACCACTATTGTATTGGGCTTTGATTCTGTTTCTGCTCTTTTTAAATGCTGTAAGCACCACAAATTAAGTTTCATTGATTCACCTCATTTATACTGAGGTTCAGACAGGCAACTCAGAGACTGATATCTTAAAGTCTTAAAGCTAGACAAATAAAACCAAAACCAGATGGATGGATTTAACTAGAGAAAAATATCACCACCAAAACATAACAAGAAATAAAGACATAGTCTAGTGGTAGAATTTAAATTCCTCACGACAATCCGACCATTACAATGTGCTCAACTAACTTGTATTACAATAATATGTGCTTTCATGTGGGTACACGTTGCCATATTTTACTTTCATGAATGATTAGAGTGATTGCATCTAGCAGCCTATATCAGAACACATCCATGTACATAATAATATCACCACTGCATATATTGTGAGAATAGGAGACATTACATTTCAGCAGCAACATTAATGTAAAATCTCCCTACTTGACAAGACAGGAGCAAATATTTTTGACAAACCAGAGGAAATGGAGTAACCTGGAGCTGGGGACTCAAGAGGACAGTTGCAAACTATCTGGCTATAGCTTACTTCAAGTATGTGTGTGACAGCCAGCTTCCTTTCGGGTAGGTACTGTCAGTAAATACACTGCTCAGAAAAATGAAGGAACACTTAAATCACACATCCCAGATCTCGATGAATGAAGGATTCCTGATGAAAATCTTTATTGATGACATAGTGTAATTCGTTGAGAACAAAATAATATAGAAACAATCCAGGGAAATCAATATCATTAACTCATTTAGGACTGGATTCAGAATCATACACAAAATCAAAGTGGAAAAATCAGATCACAGGCTGATCCAACTTCTGTGAATTTCCTCAGGACAACTCATGATGTGGCTCAGTCATGGTTTGGCCTCCACGTCCCTGTATATATTCCCTACAACGTCTGGGCATGTTCCTGATGAGACGACGGATGGTCTCCTGGGGGATCTCCTCCCAGACCTGGATCAGGGCATCAGTCAGCTCCTGGACAGTCTGTGGTGCGATGTGGCTGCGGTGGATGCTACGATACATGATGTCCCAAAGGTGCTCGATTGGATTCAGGTCTGGGGAACGGGCGGGCCAGTCAATAGCATCAATGCCTTCGTCATCCAGGAACTGCTGACACACTCCAGCCACATGAGGCCGGGCATTGTCAACCATCAGAAGGAACCCAGGGCCCACTGCACCAGCATGTGGTCTGACAATGGGTACTGGAGCCATAATGTACTTTTTGTTTTTCATTTATTTTTTATGTTTATATCACAGGTGACCATTTGCATTGTTGTATGTAGTTTTCTGTTTAAACACTGGGTGGAGCATTAGCTCAGAAAAGGCATAGGTAAGCCGCAGGTGATGAGCAGCAGGTGTGGAAGGGGGAAGCGTACAGTTTTTGATCATGTCAGTATCAGCGTGGCAGCGTCTCAACAAACAAATTGATGAATGAAACTTACCTGTGTTGAAAGTTAACTTAATGATGGAAAACTTACCTGTGGATTTACCTGTGTTTTACCTGTGCTAAGATGAGCATTAAAAAAAGAGAGCAAATAAATTTGTCACCGCACTCAAAGACAACTCAGTATTGGACATTGGTTTATTGTTTTTGCCCAGAACATGCATCCGAAAAAGTTTTCCCCGTTCGCCCCGCAGTGACTTATACATGTAGTTGTTTTTATTGGAAAGACTCTACAATGGGTCTGAGGGTCTCATCCCGGTACCTGACAGCAGTCAGGATACCTCTGGCTAGCACGTGGAGGTCTGTGCGGCCCTCCAAGGATATGCCTCCCCAGACCATTACTGACCCACCACCAAACCAACATGCTAGAGGATGTTGCAGGCAGCAGAACGTTCTCCATGGCATCTCCAGACTCTGGCACACCTGTCACATGTGCTCACTGTGAGCCTGCTCTCATCTGTGAACAGAACAGGGTGCCAGTGGTGAATCTGACAATTCTGGTGTTCTCTGGCAATGCCAATTGAGCTGCACGGTGCCGGGCGGTGAGCACAGGCCCCACTTGTGGACGCCGGACCCTCATGCCACCCTCATGGAGTCTGTTTCTGACAGTTTGGTCAGAAACATGCACACCAGTAGCCAGCTGGGGGTCATTTTGTAGGGCTCTGGCAGTGCTCTTCCTGTTCCTCCTTGCACAAAGAAGCAGATAGCGGTCCTGCTGCTGGGTTGTTGCCCTCCGCCCCATCCTGGAGTAGCTGCACTACCTGAGCAACTTCTGTGGGCTGCGGATACGGCCTCATGATACCACTAGTGGTGAGGGCACTGGAAAAATGCAAAACTAGCCAAGAATCAACCAGAAAGGATGCAGAGAAGGACATGGTCTGTGGCCACCACCTGCAAAACCATTCCTAAATAGGGGTTGTCTTGGTAATTGCCTCTCCTTTCCACCTGGTGTCTGTCCAATTTGCACAACAGCAGGTGAAACTGATTCACAATCAGTATTGCTTCCTAACGGGACAGGTTGATATCCCAGGAGTTTGATTGACTTTGAGTTACACTGTGATGATTATGTGTTCCCTTTATTTTTTTGAGCAGTGTACCTGGCTGAATCCAAATGTCCACCCTCTGGACTTGCAGACTGAGCCCTCGCGGACTTCAGTTGCAGTTCGTGTGACGTATTCACTGCCGTCACATAAAGTCTGTGAGGGTCCAGACTGCAAGTGGCTGATAGACAGCCCTTAAAACTGTTTTACTTACAGTGCCCACTCATCTGTTCCTGCAGATAACAAGATATAAATCCCATGTATAACATTTCTTGTGACTGAACAAAATGTATGAATACATCTCTACATAACATACAGGCTACACAAATTCAAAAAAAGAAATGTCTGTAAATAAGGACAGGGCTATGCCTTAATAAATTGGGTATTACTGACATTAGAGGGCCTTCTTTTGTTGTTTTTTAGCCTGGTGTGGGTGAATATTATCTCTGGCCTACAAAATTCAAGTAGGCCTAACATTTCAATAGGCATAACTATCAATAACTATTTTACACAATTATAATTTCTTTTTCGGCAGTTCAAAAACTGACGTCACGTTTGTATTGCAATGAATTGTGGGTTATTAAATCGTCTAATAAAAGTCTGCACCCTGACTCTCTGGAAGTCTGCAGAAAGCCCACTTAAAGCCCCCTGTGGACTGGATGAACTGTGGATTTGGAGCCCTCAGCACTCACAGACCTCACGGGAACGTGCCCGCAAAGTCCACGAGCCTGCAAGTGCGGTGAAGTCCGGACATTCCAATCTGAGTTCAACTTTTGGAACGCGCATACCGCATGTCATGTGAAAAGGAACAACCAATCGCAGCCGACAGATATCTTTTCTTTCTTCTGTAAATATTCAGTCTGATGAATATGGAAAAGTTGATTATGTTAGTGCAGGGCTACCCAGAGCTTTACATCTGTCCTACAGTCCTACACACTTAAACAGCTCCTGTAGAAGATCAGCTCTGCATTTCAGGTGAACATGCTATACGGTGCTTGTTAAGGTTGCTTAGCAACCTCAGACGCAACCTGCAGCTGCGCTCTTAAAAGCTTCCAAAGAAAAGGCACAAGAGTAGCACCCAGCGCCTGACCTCGCGTTTTCCAGGCGGTTGAAGATGCGGCATGTGCACGGCCCCAAAGACAATAGAAAGTGTCAGAAACATTAAAACATAAGCATTTAAAATAATGAAATTGCTTGAGAAAAAAACCTAGCTATATTACGGTAACATAACACATCATACTTTTATCAGCAACACAATCCATGCTCACAGAGAAGTGAAAGTAAAAATTAGTTGTAGCCTCTCGGTCTGTGACAGATGATGAAAAAACCGATATAACCAGCACACCTTGTGTTAACCTGCTCAGTCGACGAAAGGGCGGGTGTTAATGAACAGATCTTTGGATCCTACTGATTAATGGTTACGTTAAATAGTCAAGTGTATTTTTCTTGAAAAAGACGAGATGGGTGTTGAGAAATATCAGATTTTGTTTTTAATGTTCCTAGCTCTTCAGCATCAGTTCACGAGATTTATTGAACATCGACCTGAGCTAATGGAGGTATGACGCACTTTCACTTTTAGACCACATTTGAGGGGTTCATTTGCAAATACAGATATCTTCGCTTTTATAATTATTTCCTTGTTTGAATTCTGTGATTTCAGGAAATAACACTGGATTTGGATTACCTGAAACAATAACGATACTAATACTACTACTCAGTAAACAGCAGTAACTATCATCATCATAGCTGTAACTGTCAAAGAGCTTGGACTCAAATAAAACAGTTTACAGATTGCACAGCATCAGATTCCTTTGCACAGCTAATTATCAGCTCTCCAGTTAATTTGGGTACATTTACATTTGTTTAAATGTGGATTAATGTACATTGTATCTTAAATGAATAAACTGAAATTGAAAAGCTGAAAGAGAGCTAACTGTTTCCTCTCAGTCTTCACTGTTAAACCACCTCTGGAACACACCCCACGCTTCACATATTTTATGCAACTTCAAATTTTAAATTTTTAGACGTTTATTAAGTCCAGTACTGGGGTCATCTCAAAAGCGGTACAGTGTTACAAGGTACAGTACATAGGCCTACATAACATGTACAAACCCATACAAGTAGTCATACATGAATACATTTACATTCTCCAGTAGCCTATGTACTTAATTGCCTAAGCAATCATTCCATGATTAGTAGCCTACTACAAAATTTCAGACAATGGAGTTTTAGGAATTCCCCACAGTAGAAGCTTGGTTTTCTTTTCTTTTGTTGACATGTCTT